CTACCTCCCCACACACACACACAAACACACAAACACAAACGTCGCCACCCGACTATTCCTGGCTCGAGATTTCGGGGTTGCCGCCCCAGGGTCGTGCCATTGTTTTGACTCGCGCAAAATTCGTGGTGGGGGAGAGAGGAGGTTGGTGGGGGGTGGGCGGAGGTTAGTGGGGGGGGAGGAGGTTAGTGGGGGGGGAGGAGGTTAGTGGGGGGGGAGGAGGTTAGTGGGGGGGAGGGAGGAGGTTAGTGGGGGGGTGGCGGAGGGAGGAGGTGAGTGGGGGTGGGGGGCGGAGGGAGGAGGTTAGTGGGGGGGGGCGGAGGGAGGAGGTTAGTGGGGGGGGCGGAGGTTAGTGGGGGGGGGCGGAGGGAGGAGGTTAGTGGGGGGGGGGCGGAGGTTAGTGGGGGGGCGGGGGGGGCGGGGGAGGAGGTTAGTGGGGGTGGGGGGGCCTGAGCGAGGAGGAGTGGGGGGGGAGAGAGATTAGGAGTGGGGGGGGGGGGGGCGAGGAGTGGGGGGGCGGAGAGAGAGGAGTGGGAGGGGCGGAGAGAGGAGTGGGAGGTGGGGGGGCCAGAGAGAGGAGTGGGGGGTTGCGTGTGGGTGGGTTCATGTGGGTGGGTTATGCAAGCGAGCTATTAATACATCGACTGGGGGCAAAGTCACGGGCCGCGTGTGCGGTGATGGTGGTGTGGTGGTGGTGGTGTGATGGTGGTGGTGTGATGGTGATGATGGTGGTGGTGTGGTGGTGGTGGTAGTGTGATGGTGGTGGCAGTGTGATGGTGGTGGTGGTGTGGTGGCAGTGTGATGGTGGTGGTAGTGTGATGGTGGTGTGGTGGTGGTGTGATGGTGGTGGTGGTGGTAGGGTGGTGGTGGTGTGATGGTGGTGTGATGGTGGTGGTGGTAGGGTGGTGGTGGTGTGGTGGTAGTGTGATGGTGGTGGTGGTGTGGTGGTGGTGGTGTGATGGTGGTGGTGTGATGATGGTGGTGGTGGTGGTGTGATGATGGTGGTGGTAGTGTGGTGGTGTGGTGGTGTGGTGATGGTGGTGGTGTGATGATGGTGGTGGTAGTGTGGTGGTGGTGGTGTGGTGGTGGTGGTAGTGTGATGGTGGTGGTAGGGTGGTAGTGTGGTGGTGTGGTGGTGTGGTGATGGTGGTGGTGTGATGATGGTGGTGGTAGTGTGATGGTGGTGGTGTGGTGGTGGTGGTAGTGTGATGGTGGTGGTGTGGTGATGGTGTTGATGTAATGGTGTGGTGTTGTGTGTACAATATTCCCTATTCACGAGCTTGGATATTAGGCCATTTGGGCTATCCACAGTGGCTATGAGATGTTGACTACCTCACCTGGTATACAAGAGGTCGTGGGTTCAATCCCGACCGTGACGACGCCTGCTGCTACATATTCAACCCATGGCACCTGCTGGGTCTGTCCCGTGACGTCCTGCACCTAGCCTGGCACAGCAGTCAACCCATGGCACCTGCTGGGTCTCCGTGTGACTCTATGGGTGTCTGTGCGAGTCTGTGGTTCTTTGTGTGTGTCTGTGTAAGTCTGTGGGTCTCTATGGGTCTCTGTGTGAGTCTATGGGTCTCTGTGGGTCTGTGTTACTTTATGGGTATCTGTGCGAGTCTATGGGTCTCTCTGTGTGTCTGTGTAAGTCTGTGGGTCTCTGTGCGTGACCCTGTCTCCGTATATCAGCGGTCCCCAATCGTTTTGGCGCGCGGGAACGGTTTCGTGGAAGACAATTTTTTTCACGGGAGGGGGAGTGAGTTCATCATTGGGTCTTCTCCCCTTTTCAAAGAGTCTCTCCAGTGACGTTTGTGTTTAACTCACTGTGGCTACTAGGGGTTAGAGCTTGTGGGCTAACTCATTGTGGCTACTAGGGGTTAGAGCTTGTGGGCTTACTCACTGTGGCTACTAGGGGTTAGAGCTTGTGGGCTAACTCACTGTGGCTACTAGGGGTTAGAGCTTGTGGGCTTATTGTGGCTACTAGGGGTTAGAGCTTGTGGGCTTATTGTGGCTACTAGGGGTTAGAGCTTGTGGGCTTATTGTGGCTTCTAGGGGTTAGAGCTTGTGGGCTTATTATGGCTACTAGGGGTTAGAGCTTGTGGGCTTATTGTGGCTTCTAGGGGTTAGAGCTTGTGGGCTTATTGTGGCTACTAGGGGTTAGAGCTTGTGGGCTTATTGTGGCTACTAGGGGTTAGAGCTTGTGGGCTTACTCACTGTGGATTCTAGGGGTTAGAGCTTGTGGGCTTACTCACTGTGGCTACTAGGGGGTTAGAGCTTGTGGGCTTACTCACTGTGGCTTCTAGGGGTTAGAGCTTGTGGGCTTACTCACTGTGGCTACTAGGGGTTAGAGCTTGTGGGCTTACTCACTGTGGCTACTAGGGGTTACAGCTTGTGGGCTTATTGTGGCTTCTAGGGGTTAGAGCTTGTGGGCTAACTCGTTGTGGCTTCTAGGGATTAGAGCTTGTGGGCTTACTCACTGTGGCTACTAGGGGTTAGAGCTTGTGGGCTTACTCACTGTGGCTACTAGGGGTTAGAGCTTGTGGGCTTACTCATTGTGGCTACTAGGGGTTAGAGCTTGTGGGCTAACTCACTGTGGCTACTAGGGGTTAGAGCTTGTGGGCTTACTCACTGTGGCTTCTAGGGGTTAGAGCTTGTGGGCTTATTGTGGCTACTAGGGGTTAGAGCTTGTGGGCTTACTCATTGTGGCTACTAGGGGTTAGAGCTTGTGGGTTTACTCACTGTGGCTTCTAGGGGTTAGAGCTTGTGGGCTTATCTCATTGTGGCTTCTAGGGGTTAGAGCTTGTGGGTTTACTCACTGTGGCTACTAGGGGTTAGAGCTTGTGGGCTTACTCATTGTGGCTTCTAGGGGTTAGAGCTTGTGGGCTAACTCACTGTGGCTTCTAGGGGTTAGAGCTTGTGGGCTTATTGTGGCTACTAGGGGTTAGAGCTTGTGGGCTTATTGTGGCTACTAGGGGTTAGAGCTTGTGGGCTTACTCACTGTGGCTACTAGGGGTTAGAGCTTGTGGGCTTATCTCATTGTGACTACTAGGGGTTAGAGCTTGTGGGCTTACTCACTGTGGCTACTAGGGGTTAGAGCTTGTGGGCTTATCTCATTGTGACTACTAGGGGTTAGAGCTTGTGGGCTTACTCACTGTGGCTACTAGGGGTTAGAGCTTGTGGGCTTATCTCATTGTGGCTACTAGGGGGTTAGAGCTTGTGGGCTTACTCATTGTGGCTACTAGGGGTTAGAGCTTGTGGGCTAACTCGTTGTGGCTTCTAGGGATTAGAGCTTGTGGGCTTACTCACTGTGGCTACTAGGGGTTAGAGCTTGTGGGCTTACTCACTGTGGCTACTAGGGGTTAGAGCTTGTGGGCTTACTCACTGTGGCTACTAGGGGTTAGAGCTTGTGGGCTTACTCACTGTGGCTACTAGGGGTTAGAGCTTGTGGGCTTACTCACTGTGGCTACTAGGGGTTAGAGCTTGTGGGCTTACTCATTGTGGCTACTAGGGGTTAGAGCTTGTGGGCTAACTCACTGTGGCTACTAGGGGTTAGAGCTTGTGGGCTTACTCACTGTGGCTTCTAGGGGTTAGAGCTTGTGGGCTTATTGTGGCTACTAGGGGTTAGAGCTTGTGGGCTTACTCATTGTGGCTACTAGGGGTTAGAGCTTGTGGGCTTACTCATTGTGGCTACTAGGGGTTAGAGCTTGTGGGCTTACTCATTGTGGCTACTAGGGGTTAGAGCTTGTGGGCTTATTGTGGCTTCTAGGGGTTAGAGCTTGTGGGCTAACTCACTGTGGCTACTAGGGGGTTAGAGCTTGTGGGCTTACTCACTGTGGCTACTAGGGGGTTAGAGCTTGTGGGCTTACTCACTGTGGCTACTAGGGGGTTAGAGCTTGTGGGCTTATTGTGGCTACTAGGGGTTAGAGCTTGTGGGCTTACTCACTGTGGCTACTAGGGGGTTAGAGCTTGTGGGCTTATTGTGGCTACTAGGGGTTAGAGCTTGTGGGCTTATTGTGGCTACTAGGGGTTAGAGCTTGTGGGCTTATTGTGGCTTCTAGGGGTTAGAGCTTGTGGGCTTATTGTGGCTACTAGGGGTTAGAGCTTGTGGGCTTATTGTGGCTTCTAGGGGTTAGAGCTTGTGGGCTAACTCATTGTGGCTTCTAGGGGTTAGAGCTTGTGGGCTTATTGTGGCTACTAGGGGTTAGAGCTTGTGGGCTTGTTTTGGCTACTAGGGGTTAGAGCTTGTGGGCTTATTGTGGCTTCTAGGGGTTAGAGCTTGTGGGCTTATTGTGGCTTCTAGGGGTTAGAGCTTGTGGGCTTATTGTGGCTACTAGGGGTTAGAGCTTGTGGGCTTATTGTGGCTACTAGGGGTTAGAGCTTGTGGGCTTATTGTGGCTTCTAGGGGTTAGAGCTTGTGGGCTAACTCATTGTGGCTTCTAGGGGTTAGAGCTTGTGGGCTTATTGTGGCTACTAGGGGTTAGAGCTTGTGGGCTTGTTTTGGCTACTAGGGGTTAGAGCTTGTGGGCTTATTGTGGCTTCTAGGGGTTAGAGCTTGTGGGCTTACTCATTGTGGCTACTAGGGGTTAGAGCTTGTGGGCTTATTGTGGCTACTAGGGGTTAGAGCTTGTGGGCTTACTCATTGTGGCTACTAGGGGGTTAGAGCTTGTGGGCTTACTCACTGTGGCTACTAGGGGTTAGAGCTTGTGGGCTTTACCAACACCACGTGACTGAGACGAGTGCGGGAAAGGAGGCGCGGACGGAAGTGGTAAATAACATAATGGGTCCGGCCACGCGCGGGCTAAGATGCGTGTAGGATTCTGACTTCTCATGAGGAGGAGCGCAACCCTAGACCCCTCAGCATGGGCAGTCTACAGTCGGCTTCGCACTCCACGTGAGAATCTAATGCCACCGCTGACCTGATGGGAGGCGGAGTTCTCAAGACTGTCATGCGGGCGATGATGGGGGGGAGCGGCTGTCTCAATCCCTTTGTCCGTGTCTTGCAGATCGGTGATCTCTCTGGGCCCGAAGAGTCGAGCCATTGGCTCGGCCGCCAAGACCCAGGTAATGATGACGCGTGCCCACAGCGGCCGGGAGATGTTGGCTCCCTCGCCTGGTACACAGGAGGTCGTGGGTTCTATCCCGACCCCTGACTACGCTTGCTGCTGTGTGTTTGGAGCCTGTGTCTCTCTCTCACCATTATCACCACGGTGGCTGTGAGATGTTGGCTCCCTCGCCTGGTACACAGGAGGTCGTGGGTTCTATCCCGACCCCTGACGATGCCTGCTGCTGTGTGTTTGGAGCCTGCGTCTCTCTCGGTCATCATCATCACCACGGCGGCTGTGAGATGTTGGCTCCCTCGCCTGGTACACAGGAGGTCGTGGGTTCTATCCCGACCCCTGACCACACTTGCTGCTGCTGCTGCTGTGTGTTTGGAGCCTGCGTCTCTCTCGGTCACCATCATCACCACGTTGGCTGGGAGATGTTAGCTCCCTCGCCTGGTACACAGGAGGTCGTGGGTTCTATCCCGACCCTGACCACGCCTGCTGCTGCATATTCGAAGTCTGTCTCTCTCACCATCATCACCACGGTGGCTGGGAGATGTTGGCTCCCTCGCCTGGTACACAGGAGGTCGTGGGTTCTATCCCGACCCCTGACTACACTTGCTGCTGCTGCTTCTGCTGTGTGTTTGGAGCCTGCGTGTCTCTCATCATCATCATCACCACGGTGGCTGGGAGATGTTGACTACCTCGCCTGGTACACAGGAGGTCGTGGGTTCTATTCCGACCCTGATGACGCCTGCTGCTGCATATTCAAAGTCTGCGTCTCTCTCACCATCATCACCACGGTGGCTGTGAGATGTTAGCTCCCTCGCCTGGTACACAGGAGGTCGTGGGTTCTATCCCGACCCCTGACGACGCTTTCTGCTGCTGCATATTCGAAGTCTGTGTCTCTCTCGTCTCTCTCCCCCCCGTGATGGTATCTCTCCGTCTCTGTCTCATCGTCTGTACCCTGTCTCTCTCTGTCCGTCTGTCCCGTGTCTCTCTTTCACCGTCTGTCTGTCCGTCTGTCCCGTGTCTCTCTCCGTCTCTGTCCATCTGTCCCGTGTCTCCGTGTTTGTTTCATCGTCTGTCCCGTGTCTCTCTCCGTCTCTGTCTCTCCGTCTGTCCCGTGTCTCCGTGTCTGTTTCATCGTCTGTCCCTTGTCTCTGTCCCGTGTCTCTCTCCGTCTGTCCCGTGTCTCCATCTGTCTGTCCCGTGTCTCCATCTGTCTCATCGTCTGTCCCGTGTCTCTCTCCGTCTCTCTCTCTGTCTCTCTCCGTCTCTGTCTTATCGTCTGTCCCGTGTCTCCATCTGTCTCATCGTCTGTACTGTGTCTCTCTCCGTCTGTCTCTCTGTCTGTCCCGTGTCTCTCTCTGTGTCTTATCGTCTGTCCCGTGTCTCTGTCTCATCGTCTGTCCCGTGTCTCTCTCCGTCTGTGTCTCATCGTCTGTGCCTTGTCTCTGTCCCGTGTCTCTCTCCGTCTGTCCCGTGTCTCCATCTGTCTCATCGTCTGTCCCGTGTCTCCGTCCCGTGTCTCTCTCCGTCTGTCCCGTGTCTCCATCTGTCTGTCCCGTGTCTCCGTCTCTGTCTTATCGTCTGTCCCATGCCTCTCTCTCCGTCTCTGTCTGATCGTCTGTCCCGTGTCTCTCTCCGTCTGTCTCTCTCCGTGTGTCTCTCCTTGTCTGTCTCATCGTCTGTCCCGTGTCTCTCTCCGTCTCTGTCTCTCTCCGTGTCTGCGTCTCATCGTCTGTCCCATGTCTCTCTCCGTCTCTGTCTCTCTCCGTGTCTGCGTCTCATCGCCTGTCCCCGTGTCTCTCTCCGTCTCTGTCTCATTGTCTGTCCCGTGTCTTTCTCCGTCTCTGTCTCTCCTTGTCTGTCTCATCGTCTGTCCCGTGTCTCTCTCCGTCTCTGTCTCTCTCCGTGTCTGCGTCTCATCGTCTGTCCCATGTCTCTCTCCGTCTCTGTCTCTCTCCGTGTCTGCGTCTCATCGTCTGTCCCATGTCTCTCTCCGTCTCTGTCTCTCTCCGTGTCTGCGTCTCATCGTCTGTCCCATGTCTCTCTCCGTCTCTGTCTCATTGTCTGTCCCGTGTCTTTCTCCGTCTCTGTCTCTCCTTGTCTGTCTCATCGTCTGTCCCGTGTCTCTCTCCATCTCTGTCTCCGTCTCTGTCTCATTGTCTGTCCCGTGTCTCCGTCTGTCTCATCGTCTGTCCCGTGTCTCTCTCCGTCTGTGTCTCTCCTTGTCTGCGTCTCATCGTCTGTCCCGTGTCTCTCTCCGTGTCTCTCCGTCTGTCCCGTGTCTCTCTCCGTGTGTCTCTCTGTGTCTGCGTCTCATCGTCTATCCCGTGTCTCTCTCTGTCGGTGTCCCTCTCCGTGTGTCTCTCCATGTCTGTGTCTCATCGTCTGTCCCGTGTCTCTCTCCGTCTGTCCCGTGTCTCTCTCCGTGTCTGTCTCATCGTCTGTCCCG